CCCCGGGGACACTACGCGGTCATTTCGCCTCTAACTCGCACCGTGTCGGCAGAGGCTGAGTCCACGGCCAAGCGGCCCCGCACCACCATCACGGCCAAGCAGCTGGAAACCCTCAAAAACGCTTACAACAACTCGCCCAAACCGGCGCGGCACGTCCGGGAGCAGCTTTCCTCGGAGACGGGGCTGGACATGCGGGTGGTGCAGGTGAGCCGGGGCGGCCCTGGTCCCCCCACGTCCCCCCGCCGGGTCAGGCCGGGCCTCGGGGCGGCGGGCGGCGGGGAAGGAGCCGGTCCCGCAGAGAGATAGCTCCCCGGCGTGCCCTGTTTGCAGGTCTGGTTCCAGAACCGCAGGGCCAAGGAGAAAAGGCTGAAGAAGGACGCGGGGAGGCAGCGGTGGGGTCAGTACTTCAGGAACATGAAGCGCTCCCGGGGGACCTCCAAGTCCGACAAGGACAGCATCCAGGAGGAGGGGCCCGACAGCGACGCCGAGGTCTCCTTCACAGGTCGGTGCCCGGAGCCCCGTTCCCGGCCCGGGCTTTGCCGAGGGTGCTCGGTGCCCTCCCTGCAAAACTGCTCTCCGTGTCTAGGCTCCTTTCACCCCCTCGGTGCCGCGTTAATAATTTTCAGCCATAATATAAGGAGTGAAAACAAGTGCCGGAGGAGGGAGAAGTGCTGAGCTGCGGGATTTACCGCGGTGCGGCCCCGGCTGCCCGGTCCCGGCTGGGCTGCAGGGGGGGCTGGGAGGAACCGGAGTCGCGGCAGAGAGGGGCGGCGGTGGCTGAGGAACTGCAGGGGACACTCCGCTCTCCCTCCGGGGGGGCTGTGTCACGTCCAAAAAAGGTGCAGGGAAAGCTCTCCGGGCAAGCGCTGCGGGAGTTACAGCCGCTGCTCATATACAGCCTTTTCGAGGGACTCTTGGAAATACAAAAACGAGAGTTCGGAGTCACTGAACGTTTCTATGGGGAAAAGTATGTAGATTTGTGGGTTTTTTTCATCCTATTTAAGGGTGGTTTTATTTGCGGAGTTACTAGTTAGGACTCCTTTCCCCAGGTCTGTGGGAGCTGTTACCTCTCCACTGTGTTGTAAAAGGGACGTTGCTGTGTGTTAGGAGGTTTCTGCATCGGAGGGTCCCATTTTTGGAGCAGAGATTTCTGTTGATAAACCCAGGGACATACCTACACTAACTCTTGTCCTGCACGGCCTCATCCCGCGCTCTCCAGCCCCAGGGCACCTGCTGCAGGAGCAGGATACGGCCCTGTGCCGGGTGAGGGGGGATTGGTGCCCGCAGCGCTGTGTGGGGGCACGTTCTGCACAGCCCCCACTCCAGCCCAGAGCTGCCCCAGCACCAAGTGGATTTTGCCAGCGTTATCTGGTCTGTGCTACCACAGTGTCCAAACCTGCCTCTCTGTGGGGGGGTATTGTTTTTAGGAATACAGGCGAGAAGCTGAGATAGAAAACGCTGTACATATTTACACAGATATATGTCTGTAAGGCACGTATGTTTATACACACAGAGCTTTGCCTCTCAGCTTCTCTCCCATATTCCTAAAAACTATTTGATTTTCAGGTCTGTTTATCCACACTGTGCATCAGCGTCATTAAATATGAATATACTATAAATAATAACTAAAAAATGTTGAACAATTATTGATAGCTTGATGCCACAAACAGGTTTGTATCCTAGGCAACAGAGCAGCTCTCGCTGTCCATGAAGCCTCTAACGAATGCAAACAATTTTTGCTGGTAACTTAAAAAATATTGCTCATTTTTCAGAAGTGTTTTTAAGTCATACAAATACATTTCATTAGCCTGTACTGGAGCAGACAAATACTGCTGAGATTTAATTTGTTTTTTTGTTTTGTTTTGGTTTGGTTTGGTTTTTTCCTGAGCAACGGAGAGTTTTTCTTGCATCAGTGAATGCTCAGGTAGCTCTTAAAAATTATATAAAAATTCAAGATAAACTTCAAAGCCAAATAGAAGTGCAGAACAAAAGGTGGAAAGACATTGAACTCACATTCACCTTTAAAGGATTATTTTTAAATCACAGTCTGATATCTCACTATGTACTTTTAATGCATATTTTTAAAATCCAAAATGTATTAGATGTTTGAACTAAAAAAAAAAAATAAAAATCCCACGGCCTTCTATGAAGACCCATCACCAAGGACAGGAATAATAAGGAGTTACAAGTGGCTGCTCAGCTCCCATCCGTCTAATCTATTTAAACTCAGAGCTTGCAGGAGGTCCCATGCAACTGCTGCCAGCCGTGGCCCTTGCTCTCCCAGTAAAACCAGTCTATTTCCCTTTCAGATGAACCCTCTATGTCTGAGATGAGCCATTCCAATGGGATTTACAGCAATCTCAATGAAGCATCCCCCGCTTTGGGGAGACAGGCTGGGACCAACGGGAGCTTTGCTCTGGATCACAGTGGCATCCCAGCTCAGGACCAGTACCACGACCTGCGATCCAACAGCCCCTACGGGATACCCCAGTCACCAGCTTCTTTGCAAGCACTGCCAGGCCACCAGCCTTTAATCTCCAGCTTGGTTTACCCAGACAACGGCTTGGGCATCATGGGACAAAGCGGACAAGGGGTGCCCCAGTCCATGAGGGTCCTGGCCGGGAACGGACCCAGCTCCGACCTCTCCACCGGCAGCAGCGGGGGATACCCGGATTTCCCTGCCAGCCCGGCCTCTTGGCTGGATGAAGTCGACCACGCTCAATTTTGATACAGGGTCCCCCACCGTGCAGCGGGCAGGGAAAGGACTCGGTGCTGTTAAACATCATCTATTCTTGGAAATAAAGGAGGGACAAACGGTGACTGCTGAGCGGGGCAGGGAAGCGTGACGACACGGAGGGAGCGGACGTGCTTTCGGAGGGCGACCCAGCGGCGGGTCGGCAGAGGATGGTGGGCAAAAGCAGCCACCCCGCAGTGATTAGCATACGGAGCGTCCAAACAAAACTGATTATTGTGTCTTTACTAAACACCAAGACTTGTGCTTTACAGATTTGATATAAGGTATCTCGCTTTTTGTTGTCAGTGCATTCTCCAAAGCACGGACTTGCTTCATCACCCATCCACACCGAACCCTTTTTAAGAGAAAATAAAGTCCTCATCCACGGTAAAAGGTGTGACAATGTCTATATTTCTATAGGAGAAATGTTAATAGTGAATCACTTCAGAAATCCATGGTAGAAAACTTCTCTGTTCTTCCAGCAGATTTTTTAAAAAGCGCACCGATGCGGTATGTTTTGTTTTATTTTGAATTTACGTTAACTTTTCTAAAATGAAATGCTCTTTAATATGCCAATCATTTATCAACAACCCTTTTCCTTTGTAAAATGAAAATCATATGTTAATTCTCCTTCTCATCTTTTTAATTTGTAGATTGCTAGCTTTATTCTTCCATATAAGCATTAAACCGTGAATAGATGTATTTATTACCAAATAACTACACTTTTATCACGAGGTCAAGAGGTGATTTTTCTTGACCCAGGAACTCTAGTGGCTCTGGGTTGTGAATCTTATGCTTTTCTTTCAAATTCCTTTGCAACAGTTTTACTGCAAAGTGTCTCAAAAATCACCCTGATGTCTTGTTGCCAAATACCTTCTCGGGGGGTCTCTCAGCAGGGGGGGTCGGCTGGTTTAGTTCCAGCCGTCCTCTGGGCAGCGCTGGGAGCGTGTCGGAGCGAGCACACGCTTTCCTGGTGACGCTTCTCTGTTCCAGGCGTTTGTGTATTTCTGCAGATACAGCGCGAGCTGATTGTGAGGAAAGGCAAGACAATATGTATATTGTTCTCTGTAAAAAAAATTATGGAATTAACCGTAGACTATGTGAATGTCCAGTGTCTTTTATTTATATTCTCGCTTTCTCTCTGATGATCAAATACTTCAAGATTACAAATAAATTTGTCAGCTAAACTTTAAATAGTCTTTTGCTAAATTCTAAAGCATCAATGTAGGTAAATGCAATAACTGAAACTAAAAGGAAAAGCCCTCAAAACCCCATGTCGCGACTCAACAAAGTGTTGAAATACACTCTTCCCTTTAAATACAGGAGCAAACCCACCGATGTAAAAATGCTTTGATAAGCTGAAACAAAATAACGACAGTTTTGCAGTCTGGCAGTCCTTGGGAGATCCGACCAGCATTGCTCTGTGCATGCACAGGCTTTGATGGCAGTCAAGCTATTTTTGATGGGTGACGGTTATTTTTTCAGCATTCATCGCAAAGGTGTAAGCAGCACTCTGTGCTACTAAAGCAAGAGAAAACAGCAGAGTTTTGTCTGATATTGTCTGTGAACAGAAAGTTGTGCACATGAAACACTAAAAGTCAGATATTGGAATATTTCAAAGAGAAATCAGAAAGAAAAAGACCCCTAAGGAACGACCGAACATACGCATCCCCTGCGCGTGTACACACACGGGAGCGCATGCACACACATATCTTCATACACGAGCGCCCGTGGTCCCGCTCCTCAGAGCGGAGTGAAGCACTTTGCTGAAGCCTCTGATTTAAGAATCAGCTGAAAGACGCTTTTTAAAGCACACGGGCTTCGAGCCTCTCGCTCCTCTGGGAGGTCGGGGAATATTTGCCCCATGGTCTTCCGTGTATCAGGCATCTTCGAGAGCGTGTGAACTGGAGACCGGCAGCACCCGCCGGCGGGGGCAGCGCGGGGGTCGGGGGAGAAGCTGCCTCTGGCCCCTGAGGGTGTGCGGGCGCTGCTCCGGCACACGTGTCCCGCGCTTTGCAGGCGACCCCTGGGAAGAGCTGTGCTGTCCCCGGGAGGCTGCTGGCACCCGGCACGGTGCACGTTGCCCCGGGGACTCACCAGATGTCAGGCGGCGACGCTTGGCGAGTCCCGGCTTTTATTCCGTACCTTTTCTAAAGGACACCATCGCCGCTGCTGGAACAGGGTGACATTGTCTCTGGTCTCTTGCTATCACCGCCCTCGCTGTTTTGCCGCTGCGGGGGGACGTGTGCTTGCCGTAACGCCCGGCCATCGCTCCCTGCTTCCTGGGCCTTTGCTCGGTAGGGTGGGACACTGACGTCTCCAGAAGCGAGCAGGTATCAAGAATATTTGCAGAAATGTTTAAGTTTGCAAAATCCTCGTTAACCACCAGCACTGTGTAAGCATCTTTACAGCTTTTCCCCCTCCTGTTACACATGCATCGCACCCGAGGAGAAGAAACATGCCCAGTTTCTGCTCCCCATGACCTAGCAGAAGCCTGCCCAAAGCAGAACGGGTACATGCATACTGCCTTAGTGCTCCAGTACTCACTCAAGAGAAAAGCTCACTCTTTTTTTCAGGACACCCAGTCCAAGAGCCACGGCAGGGAAGTGAGAAACCCCACTGCGTGACACCACGGAGCTTTTGGTGTAAAAACACCACACCAGCTTGGACCTGGGGGTGATCTGTGCAAACTTGCTTTGTGTCTCTGCTCCTGGGGGATTTTTCAGATGAGTGAGACTGTCCCTCTTGCAGCCGAGGCAGAAATTTGCCCTATTGGGGTCTGAGGTCTCGAGTCTGAGCCCAGAGCTGGGCTTGGAAGCAAGAGCCCGGAGCTGCTTTTTCTTCCTTCTCCAGAACTGAGTAATAGAAGAGACAACTGTTGCTGCCAGCCCAGAGGTACATTGCAAGGACAATGAAACTTCTGGAGTAATTAGAAAATTATGGGGTTTTTAAAAGCAAATTGCAAAACCTGACCCAAACAGAAAACAAGGTTTGTGTTTTCAAGAACTCTGGCGTTTCTTTTCTCTTGCCCCGTGATCTGGAAACACCCCCACCAAATCTGGGTAAGTGTTTCGCATCAAAACATTTTGGCAGTTCAAGTATAACATAAAATTTTATATATAATATAATAACATTTATTATATAATAACATTTTCCTTCAAAAGGCTAAAAAAGACTATAAAAGACTCTTATTTCCTAAAAAAAGAAGGAAATAAACCCAGAAAGACAGAAGTGTAGTTGATTTTAGGATAAGGATGCTGTTATGAAACTACTGTCTAGAAACTATAGTAATTGAACACGTATGTTATAGATCTTTTCTTCACCATTTCCCTCCCAGCAAATAACGGGCGCTGTTGTTCCTCTCGCCCTGGGAATTCCAAGTGGATGGCAGAATTTAAGAAAGGAAGAAATGCAAATTTCCCCCTCTGCCTTTGTGCTTTGCTCTGAAAGGCAGAACGGGCTGAAAGTTGCCGGTGCTAGTACTCGTCTAAACATGGAGAAGAGGTCCCCAAACATCCTGATATAAAATTCAGGGATTGCATTTCAGCCTCTCCTTTCAGGGCTGAGGCTCAGGGATTCCATTAATATAAATGCTTTCTTCCCGTTAAAAAGAAAACCAATTTGAAAGAAGCAAATAAAACTAACACTATTCAACTGACTGACAGCTTGTAAAACCCAAACAGAATTAGGGAGAAGGGTTTTGCATTGCTCAATTTGCAGGTGAGCTTTACAACCTCCGCTGATTTGCGTGAGTGCATGACATGGGAAGCAGGAAAGTTTTTGTGCTCTCAGCGAGGAAAATCTGACGTGTGAATCTTTTTTTTCCCAAACAGCCTATTCATCTTTAAGAAGCAGTTGTGCCTAAACTCGCATTCCTTATAGACACAGGAAATGATGCGATTTTGTGTCAAACAGTAAAAATAACTTATTTTTTTCTCATTTTGATTTCCTGTACGAGGCCGATGAAAGCAAACCCCTCACGCCAGGAGGGACAGACACCACCTCACTGTTAAATATTTCCTGCAGCTCCCGCGGGGGGGTCAGCTGGGCAAGGGAACCCGTCCATCGCAGGGACCGCGGCTGCCGGCGCTGGCAGCGGGCAGTAACCCAACGCGTGTGAACCCGGCCGGGAGCGGCGAGGCAGCGGGAGCCATGCGGTGGGAGGACGGCGGATCCGCCCCACTCCTCTCGCACAGCTTCTGCGGGAGCTACAACTCTCGGGACCGGTGGGAGCCAAGCCAAGCTGGGCCGGGGCACGCGGGCTTTATCCAGCCTCACCCAGGGGAACGAGGTGGCGAAAGGGGGTTGTCCCCAGCTGGGGTACCAGGGCTGGCCTGGGGACAGCCCGCTTGCCTGGGGCACAGGGCATGGGGACCTTAGTGCTGCTTTGGGGACATTAGTGCTCTTTTGGGGATGCGGGCCAGGTGAAACCCTTTGCCCACAGGGAGCGGGGAAGGTGGCTGGAGCCGGGTCATCCTTAGTGTCCCTCTCCGGTGGCTTCTCCCAGATGTGTCAGAGCATCCGAGCGAAGGTGGTGTCACCGCCCCGCACATCCCGCCGCGCCTCTGCTGCCAGCACCAAGGCCTGCGGGAACAAGGCAGGAAAGCAAAGACCTCCCTGATTTATACACCGAAATAACATTTAAAAGCAGCAAATGACTTTGTTAAAATCTGTCGTGAAAACCAGCAAAAATATGCCAAGAAAAAAGCAAAGGTGTTTAAATTAGTTTTTTTTTTCCCTTTCTGACATCTTTATTATGTGTCTAGGTGGGAGTGCATTTTGCATTAAAGCACACGTGCAGGCGTGTTTGTTGGCACACGGGTGTAGTGGATAGGGAACAGAGCTGGGGGGGGAAAAATCTGATTTAGGATGCAGAAAGCACTGCTTTTGTGCTCACCATTCTGCAATCTGGGCATGAAAAATAATTTAATAGCCAAATACGCAAGGCTTCTGGATTTAAATGAACTTTTCTACATTAGAACACAGCCAATTTCTGCATA